ATGCCACTTTTAGGAGAAAATGTTAATATTTAATAGTAGACTAATGGAAAACAAAGTTATGATCGACTAAATATGCTTGGACACATTCTTAGTAGTGTGAATTTTCCTTTTTTACCAAAAACAAAAGATGATGATAATGAATTTTTTTGAAGAAAAAAACTTCTTGACCAGAGTCTCATTCAATCCTCTACTTTGAAAGTAGTGAAGAGTTTCACTAGAAGCCAAACTTGAAGGAAGGAAGACAAAACAGCACCACCAACAAATTCCGCAGCCATGGTGTGAATTAGAAGGAAAAGGGATGAGGAAGAAGAAGAACAGTAAGGGATTGATGGTAGCAAAGAGAGACGTGCGCCTAATGCCAAAGCAAGGGAAAGCTAAGAGCTCTTCAGCCAAATAATTTGACACAGCAATATTTGGAGATGACAGTGCGTTACAGTAAAGCGGCCGACATCTTTTGAGTTAAAGGTGAATTGTTTTTTCCTTTTGGTGACTTGTTAGAGGCAAATTATTAAGAGGATGCTTTTTGACTTATTTGAGTGCGGCTAACGTGGCTCTGCTTTTCTTTTCCTTTGCGTTGGAGGCGACAAAATTCCTAATGAGAGCGAAAACCAGTAATAAGATTCATTCAACATTATATTCTGCGTCATGAAGAGAAGCCACCCCGAAGTAAACCTATTTAATTAATTTAATTTGATTAAGAAATTTAGGTAAATTAGTTAATTATAAAAAATGTGATATATTTTTCCTAAAACACCATAATCATCTTTCTTAATACCTCTTTACCTCTTTTACTTGGTTATGATTAATGAAGTATCCATAGAAGTAATTTAGAGAAAATTAATAAATATGATAAATGAGTCTTATATTTAGGACTAAAACTAACTCAATAATTAGGTCTTATATTAAAGACCGGAAAAGTATAAATACATATATGTAAAACTTTTAAGTATGGTATTGAAATCCAATTTAGGCAAGGCAATCAAGATGCTTGAATTTTTTTCCCTCTCAGCCTGAAATAATGATGGTTTGAGTTGAAAAAAACAGCAATTTGTGAGATTGCTAATTTAATAATGGGAACTTTCCCCATAAGTTTTTATTCGGGAGCTGTAAAAGTCTTTTTAGATGTAAATTTGTCTTAAAAATTTAACATTATAATAATATTGTTTCCTACTGCTAAAAATGTTAATGATCAAGGTTATTATTTTAACAATCAATATTAGTTTCCTAATAGTATAAGACATTATTGTTATGATTTTAAACTTTTGAAACATATTTGCACCCTAAAAAAACTCCCGAGTGCCCAGCACTCCTAAGTAAAAAATTTCTTGAGCAAATATGCACGTTAACCCATTTAATAATTCTGTTTTGTTGAATTATATTTAGTTCATATATAAATTTGGCTAGAACTATATTTTTAGCCCTTTAATTTTACATAATGTTTTGTTTTGGTACTTTAATTTTATAAAGTATTTTTTACAGTCTTTTAAATGATTCAAGAACAAATTAAAAACAAATATAAGAATTACAATAAGTTATGTTACATAGAAGTCACGAATAATATGCACATCTATACGCACATACCTTCTCCTCGACTTATTTGTCTTGTAAATATGCTTGAACACTTTTTTAGTAGTATGAATTGAATTTTCCCCTTTTTATCCAAAAAAAAAGAAGATAATAGATTTTTTTGTGAAAAATGTTGAAAATGACAGGGAGGGAAATAAATCCAAATTAAAATTTTAAACTTCAGAAAAAAAAGACAAAAATGTCACTTTGTTTTCAAAAAAAAAAAATTCAACCCCTTGATGGAAACCGCCGCCGACATGGTGGTTGTTGGCAGGGGTTTTTAGCAATTTTTGTTTTGGTCATAAAAATTATTTGAGGAAAGTGATGGGGTGGAATTTGATCCTACCATCTCATGGTCATTTGGACCAACCGAAAAATTAGACGAACATTGGGTTACCAATAGCTTCTTCACATTGTAATGCAAACAACACATATAAGTTAACTCCTTTGCAACTCATGACAATAATTTATCTGAGAATGATAAGTCTTGATTAGGAAATGACAAGTTTAAACTCGAAATTAACAAGGCATTTTTTTATAATATATAATGTGAAATAACATGTGAATTAATTAAAAATGACAACAATTTATCCTGAAATGATAAGTTGAGTGTAAAATGATAAATCTAGATTTGGGATTAACAATATTATTTTTAATTAATTCATATGTTATTTCCTGTTATGTATTAAGAAAAACACATTGTTAATCTTAAGTTTAAGCTTATCATTTCTCAATCAAGACTTGTCCTTATCAAATAAATTGTTGTCATTTATAATTAATTCACATGTTATTTTATGTTATGTATAAGGAAAAAATGCCTTATTAATCTCAAGTTTAGACTTATCATTTTCTAATCAAGACTTGTCATTAAGAGATAAATTGTTATCATTTTTAATTAATTCACATATTATTTCACGTTATGTATTAGAAAAAAAAAGTTTTGTCATTATCAAGTTTAAAATTGTCATTTTTTATCAAGATTTATCATTTTTAGATAAATTGTTGTCATTTTTAATTAATTCACATGTTACTTCATTGTATGTATAAAAAAAAACGGCTTGTTAATCTCAAATTTAAACTTATCATTTCTCATTTAAAACTTGTCACTCCTAGATAAATTGTTTTTATGAGCTAGAGTTAGAATAAAGGAGTTAACTTTTGTTTTATTCACATTACAATGTTAAGAAATTATTTGTGGCCTAATAGTCACCTCTCATTTTGGTTGGTTCAAATGACTATGGGGTGGTGGGATCAAATTCAAATCCCCCTACCCCTTTCCTCAAGTAACTTTCCACGGCAAAAAAAAGTTGCTACCACAGAAAAAAAAAAAAACTTACTGGCAACCACCATAACGATAGCCAACGGGGTCATTGGCAATGATTTCTGAAGAGGGGTTGATGTTTTTAACATTAAAAAAATAAGAAAGGGGTATTTTATTTTTCCTAATGGATATGTGATATGACCCACTTTATTTTTTAATACTTAATTTTTTATTATATTTATATAGGACATTAATTTTTGAAAAAATTCCAAAATTTTAAGAACTCAAATCAAGAATAATTATAAAAATTTCTTATCATTTTCTTTTTAAATTTTGTCAATTGTTATTAAAATGTAGGAAACAAGACTAATTTAAAATTTTTAAATTTAAATATATATTTTTTTGGGATTCTCCCTTAATTTTTTCCCTTTGATTTTTTTTTTGGGACCAGGGATTTCCCCTTTGATTTTGAAGTCTTAAATATCACCACTTAAAATAAAATAAAGAGCTACAGAGAGAAATTTTCTTGTAAGGAAATTGAAATGCATGCAATGGAAAACTTATGACTAGGAAACATAACAGAAAGGGCATTATAGGATACTCAATTTGATTTCTGTATGTGTCCTTTTATCCCACATGTCCCCAACGTTTGTGAAGAAATTATGGTTTCTCGGGACCCTCTTCCAACATCACCCCCAAATTTTCAAAAGATTATATCAATTGGACTTTTTTGCTGGATACCAAGAATTAGAATAACATGAAAATAATAAATAATTCATAAATTAAAAAGGTCTTTTGTTTTCTTAATTTGAAAGCTAATGAAAGAAATTATTAGGAATTTGATAATTAATTTGAAAATATTAGGAAAAATAATTAAGCTGGTTATTCTTTAAAAACACGTTTATTTTTTAAAACTATATTTTTAATTATTTGTATTGAAAACTATTTTTTCGATAAAAAATCATATCAATATATATGTGCAATCAATAAGAAGAATTTAAAAAATAATTATGAATTTATAAAAACAAGTGAATTCAAATATTATATTTAGAAGAAAAAAATTAATACTAACTTTTACAATTTAGAACCCGAAGAAGTAATAATTTTTTACTTGAATAATATCAGAAAAATAAATATTATGTGTTTTCTGTTGTATAAAAAATATATTATATGCATTGTTTCTCATCAAATTATTAGCCATGCTATATACTAATGACATAAGTAATTTTTTCAGTCATGAAATTCATCATAAACTTACTCTAATGACCTCTCCAAATCCAATGGGCTAACATTTCAATCCAGTGTGTGTGTTCTCAATTTTTATGCAATTAATTCATTTAAAATAAAGTATATATAAAATATTAATTATGAGATTTATATAAATAAATTTAACTAAAATTCATTCCATGTCCCTATCATTATGCGATATGTCAATTTATTAATTATTCATTACATTCTTTATCTCTATGATCATTAGCCAGATGAGAAGCAAAAGTCTGATCCATACCTACCTCCTAACCCCCACCCTCCTCCAACTGCAAGTTATGAATGCCGAGTTAAGAATAATAACTGAGAAGTTTTGTTTATTAAATGATAAGTTCATCAAATAAGTTATACATAATATAAAAAGTAATAAACTTAAATATTTCTTCGAAAAAGTCGTGTTTTGCGTTGGTAGTTTTTGGAAAAAAGAATACATACTAAAGAATATTAAGCTTGCTAATATTTGTAAAACCCATATCTATCCAAAATATTTTCCTAAGAGCTACTTTCAATTAAACCAAACAGTACTTTAAGCCAATATGTTTCTAATGGGGCACTGTTTGAAGTGTTGTTGGCACTATATATGGGCATTTCTTTACCTGTCGGTTAATCAATTAAAGTTAATATAAAGCATAGATGTGCCTAGAAATATAAAGCAAAATTATCACTTTATAAATTATAAGATGTGTAATTGATGTGAGATCTGACCAAAGAAAACACTAGATCTTTTTTTTTTTTTAAATATTTAGGTTTTTTTAACAACAATAAAGGAATCAAAAGTAACAAACTTAAATTCTCATCACTTAACTATCTAGCCTAAGGTGGGAAAATGTGGGACTTTGTGAGGGGGACAGAAGAGGGAGGGTTCAAATCATTCATATTCCTTTACACTTCAAGTCTAATAAGAAATCTGATGTGGCTTGCCCTTTCACAAGCTTGAGGAACACATCCTTAAAGATGAAATAAACTTTATTATGACCCATCAAAACTTCCCAGTTAAAGTATGAAAAATAGTAATAAAATTGACAGCCTTATGGAAAATCTTCATGTTCCTGTCATCGTCACACTCTCTCTGATCTTATCATAAAAGAAGAACCCCAAAATCTCATAATCCAATTCACATCAGTAATGTTGGGATCCGAATTCAATGCCTTGAATTGTGCAGCTTCAGTTTCAAACAAGAATCTTCCTTTTGACTTTCACCCTAAACATCAACATCAACAATTCTGAAATCCTTATATGGTTTCCTATTTCACTCTCTCTTTTTCAAGAGAATGAGAAATTCATGGGTGTGCCATAGCATGCAATTTTAGCTGTCAAATGTAGAGGCACGAAAGGGCACAGAAGAAATTTTCTCAGAAAATCTACCCATCATTTTCCTCCAAGTGGTCCATGCCTTCTAGTGTTCAAATAAATTTCTTCAAAGTCACACATGGATTTTACTTGATAATCTCTTCAAGCTTCCAAAGGACTTGCTTTATGTTTGGTCTCAATGAAGGAGAAGGAGAACAACAAGACATAGCAAGTTGAAAATACTTGAGGATGCATTCTTCACTAACCGGGCCTCCATTGTCTCTGCTTTTGCTGAGAAGAATGTCTGGATGGTACAAGTCAGATATTCTGTGTCCAAGCACAGCATTTCGCATGAAATTTGGCAAATAGAAGTCCTCATCAGGGGTCGGATGCTCATTGATAGGCTCCTTCCTAGAAAGCATCTCAAGCATGATCACGCCGAGGCTAAATATATCAGTCTCTTCACTAACATCCTTCATTTTAATCAGTTCAGGTGCCTTGTAACCCTGAGCAGCTGAGGCTTCAAGCATTTCTTGGCCAGCAGTAGGGTTCAAGAGGAGATGCAGGCCGAAATCCGAGATGTAGGGCTGGTAATTGCGATCTAAAAGGATGTTTTTTGACTTGAGGTTACCATGGATCACAGGCTTCTCAAGTCCAGTGTGAAGATACTCTAGTCCTTTGGCTATGCCAAAGGTTAGTCGATATATCGTAGCCCAGTGGTAACACTCGCCATTTCCATCTGCTCATGAAACATTCTTGATCAGCGAATGAGATGCATTACACAAATCATAGTAAGCAAATCCATAAACAAAACAATATATAAAAAGAGAAGAAAAAGTGATAATACAGTTAAGCATTGAAGAGAAAGGGGAAAAGACAAGGAAATACAAATGCATATTAGTCATTAATATAGCTGTTTGAATCTTAGCCATGATTGATACAGATTTCAACTTTTGAATCTCATGCAACTGCAATGAAAGTAAATCCACCAGGGTTTCTGAATCAGACCAAAACATAAAAGCAGATGAATTACATGTACAAAAGAAGAAAAACCAACGCCATTATATTGACAATAGAACTTAGCAATGCCCAACAAAAGGACCAGTTATATGCCATTCAATCAGAAAACTCAGTACTAAGTCCACACAAATCATAGGCCAAGAACACAGAACATCATCAACTCTCTAGATCAGCATATGAAAACCGATGGAGATGGCATCTCTTTATAGCAACATGTCTTAAGTTCCTCTTGGAAGCACCAAGAAATAGAATCTTAGATACAATGGACCAACTGGGGCCAACCGTTACAACAATAGGGAATTTTCTATATGTACTATATATCCCACCAAAATATTAATTCAAGCTTCTTAAGATGATCTCAAGGCTTATTAACTCAGTAAATAAGACAAATATCTGATATTGAAGCTGTCATTCAACTATCTATGATTTTTTGCATCTTTTCATAGTGTTGAGTTTCTGACTTTACTTTCAGATCTCTAAAGTTTAGATTAAAAGCTTGTAGGCAAAGCTATGAATCCAAACCAAACTCATTTAAAAAAGAAAATAGTAAACAATGTTTGCTTTGGAGTACTCGAATCTAAGAGTACTGTAGCTTCACACACACACAAACGCGCGCGCGCGCGCACACACACATATACGCACACACGAGATACTGGTAACATTCTGTAACCTAACCAAAATTAACTCACACAAATTAAACAAATGATTTTATAATCATTCAAGACTAAGCAGCCATGCCATGTTCAGAAATCTAGACCACGATGATAAAAGTAGGAACTTTTCGCAGAAGAAAGATAAAGAAGGATTTCCCGAGAATTCAAGCACGATGATCCAAAGGAGTAAATCAAACAAAATGCGAGAGAATCAATCAGTGAATCAATTACCTCTTACGAACTGAGTGAGATTCCCATGACCATAAAAGGGATGAACAAGAAGCTTCTCACCCCTTGGCCCTGTGTAAAATCCGACAAGAGGAACCAAATTGGGATGCCTTATCCCTCCAATCATTCCAATCACATCAACCAACTCTTCATCCCTTGTAGTGCTCACTGGCCTCAAAAATCTCAGAAGCCTCACTGCATTGCATCGCTGCAACAAGGCCTTATAAAGTGTGCTATAATTGGATTTCCCAATTACCTCCCCCGGAGCTTCAAGAATGTCACATATTGTGAGGTTCTCACCTCCTTGGAAGATCACCAAGTCCTCTTTCTGCACTGTATCTTCATATTTGCATCCTGGGCTTTCAATGTCTTTGATCTCATGGGTTGTTCTTCTTTTGCGGTAAAAGAAGACATAAAAAACAAGAATTGAAAATAATGCAGCGAAAGACAGTCCAAGAAGAAATATAACAATGTGGGTCATCTTCACAAGATGAAAATTTTTTGCTCCCTTTGTATTTGAGTGGTGAGTGATGAACTCACAGAGACTTGAAAATTTCAGATAATTGAAATTGAAGAAATGGGGAATTAGGATCTGGGTGTTGTTAGAATAACAGCAAGGAGTTCGTTTGGATAGAAAATGAGCTTAGTTTTCCCGCACAGTAATGTCCATTCCGAAAATACGAGGAAGGGAAAAAAAAAACAAGAAGAGGAACACAGATTAGAATTTTGTTGAAGGCGGAACCCAAGCCAACAAGCTGATGAAAACTAAAAATTGGGATCTGGGTATTCTTGTAATAACAGAAAGCAGCTGGTTTTCATGGAAAACTGGGTTCAATTTCCCTCAGAAAATATTCATACAGCAAATACAGGACCAAAAAAAAAAAAAAAAACAAATTAGACTAGAACTTTGAGAGGTGGGACGCAAGATGATGGGGAAAATATCTAAGGATTAAGCAATGGAGGAAGAAAAATTTGGAAATTAGGATATAGGTATCACTAAAACAACTAAAAGGAGCTTGTTTCGATGGAAAATTAGCTTAATTTTCCGGGAAACCAGTATTCAAGATGCAGATACAGGACAAAAAGAGGAACATGAAGTAGAACTCTGTGAGGTGGAACAAAAGTTGATCGGATGCATCTAGAATTCAGATAATGGGTTAAGAAAACACCAGAAATTAGGATCTGGGTAACACTGAAAAACTCAAAAGTGCTGGTTCCGATGGAAAATTGGCTTAATTTTCCAGGAAAATAAAATCCATTCTGCGAATAAAGAACAAATAGAAGAACATGGAATCGAACTTCGTGGGGTTGATGGGAATATCTCAGAAGGTAAGAAAAAGAATTCAATTATTGGAGCGGAAATGGACGTTGGGGTGAGGGAAGGAAGGCACAAGCATTTGGCAGTGTCGCAAGAAAACTACGGAGGCAGAACATATACGCACTTGCTAAGCAGGAAGACAGTACGGAGCCATGTGAAGCTCGATCTAATGTTGACTGTGTTGTCTGTACTGCTCAATTAAATTACGTATTTACCCTCCAAAATTATTACTACCTCCTATCTTAATTATAAGAGCCAGTTGACTAATTTGAGAAGATTAAAGAAGTAAGTTAAATTAATTATTTGTCCTAAATAGGTGTTATCTTTTCTAAAATATCCTTGCTAATCAAGTGTATTGATTAGAACTATAATTATTAGAAGGACTATTTAAAAAAAATTGAGTAAATATGAGAAACAAAGTGGATTGGGTTCTTATATTTAATACCAAAATAAAAGTCAAACAGGATTTTATATTAAGGACCGGAATAGTATTATTTTTTTATTATTATTACTCTTGTGGATTTTCATCGTATATTTAATTTTTTAATACATAATTAATGGCAAAAAAATTTTGATACATAATATAATAATAGTCATTAATATTCACAGGCCGCAAATATTATGATTTTGTCTCATCAAATAATATGATTTAATTTTTGAAATCCATGTGTAACATTATACGTAGTTTTGAGTAAAATTGAAATTAAAAATAAATTTAAAGTCTAATTTTATTTTCATTTAAAGTATGACAATTATATGCTTGTTTGATAGGAGCAGAAAAGTTATTTTAATCATTTAATTATATTTTAGGTTTTATTTTAGTTTTGCTATTTTATAACGTTTTAAATCCTTTAATTTTGCAAATATGGCTAGAACCCTCTTTTCCTAACAACACCAGTAAATTAATTGTGAAAAGATATTTACATAAAATTAAATTAATTTACTGTACCCCTGGTAGTTTCAACTTTGAACCACCTCATCATATCCATATTAACTAACAAGGCAATAATAATAAGTTGCACCAAAGAAAAGCAAAGCACCAGCAACAACAATAATAATATTCATTTTTAATAGCCAAAATATCTGGGTAAAGAACATAAATATACTAATTATTTTGGAATTAATTAAAATGACAAAAAATAACTAAAATATATATAATAGTTATCAATTCAAACTCTCCTATATAACAAAAACTCATATTTTCATAAATATGAGTATTTGTTATTTATATCTTTTTTTTAAATCAAAATTTTTTTTGAACTATAGTTTTATAACTAAAAATATTTACATTAAAGATTACAAAACTATACCTAACACAAAAAATCCTTCTATTATTTTTTATTATAAAATCCTTAAATATGACACCTCCTGAGAGGGTAACAACCTGTGCATCAGAAAAGTTGTTCAGATCTCAATCTGAATGTTTTTCTTTCTATGTTTTTTAAATATATAATATGCTCCCATCTCAATCTAGCTGGGCTGTCTATATATAATAAATATAATTTAAAAAGAAAAACAAAAGTCAGATTCATAATCTGTTAATGCCTGTAATTTAAATAAAATAATTTAAAGTTTAGAATGATTTTCTCCCACATGTGGGGGCCAAGGAGCCCATGCAATGAATTATTGATGATATGATTCACGTTGTTTGAAAATTCCTTGTTTGGATCAAAATTGGTAAATCATCTGTGATATAAAATAATTTTTTATATATTAATAAAATTGCAACAAATAAATAAATTTTTTATTTATTTTTATATTTATTGATGTGATTTTTTTCATATTTTAATTTATTATTTTTTTGAAATTATTGAAATTCTAATACAAAATCAAATAAACCCGTAAGTTAAATAAAATTTAAATAATGTATCGCATTCTTTATTGGTTTCTTTTAAGCAATATAAGTCATTATAAATTTTTTTTTAGGGTTAAACTTAATTTCTTATTAAAAGCAATTCTATCCGAGCCATGGACAAGCACTAAACATAAGTAGATTTTATAAGGAGAATTAGAAATTTCTCTCCCAATACACAGAGTAGTATATCTGATTAAACTTGAAATTCTAATGGATTATATTATCTTAAATAGAAGATTCACTTAATTATTCATTCCTCCACTTTATTATCTCATTATGATGCTCCCTATTTAATTTAATATATTCAAGTATCAATCAAGATATTATTCAAATCTTATTAATTAAATATATTCAAATCTTATAATATCATATCCAACCCACTTTCAAACGTATGGAGTATTACAAGATTTAAAATTTGGAGTTAATTTAAATATTAGTTTGTCACGAATCACTACTTTTTTGCTAGACTCGATAAATGTTTTATCATTAAGTTGGTTTTCTTATATATTGTATAAGTTGAATGATGAGTAACGATATTAAAAATAGCCCTTTTATGATATTTTATAGTGTAATTTCTTGTATATTTTATTTTTTTTAATTGACAAAAGATATTAATTTTGAACCCCGCAAATCATAAATAACCTTGCTTATACAGTGTTTAAATAATATTTATGGACAAATTTGTTAAATTTCAATTAAATTAAAAATTATGCAAAAAAAAGTTTTGACCAAACTATGCAAAAACGTTTTGAAAAAACCACTATACTGGTATAGTGTTAAAAAAGAAGTGTTATTATTAAAAAAAATCCCATAATTAGTAAATGATAACTTCTAATTAAAAAAAAGTAACATTAAATTTCACATTGTTCATTTATTACCAAGATTATTTTGGTGATTTTAATCATTTTCAGAGTGATTTCCTAAATTTTTTGGCCAGCGAAGAATCACACATAACTGGTCAAAAGTTACAAATACGATGTATGATGAGTTTAGACTTTAGAAGGTTCGTGCCAGCCTGGCTCGCAGAAAGAAAAAAAGCCATCAATTTGCGGCGTTAATTTACATTAATATTCTTTGTTTGTTTGGCATAATTGGTGACTTGGCTTTTTCAGTCTTCCTACTTTTTAAATACTTCTCATATTATTAATATAAAACTTAATTAACTAATTTAAATAAATTAATAATATTCATTAAATTAGTTAATATGATATGGCTTTTATAAAATACCATAAACATCTCTCTAATTTTCTCTCTTACTTTTTAAGGGAATATTAATAGGGTTAATTTTGAGTGAAAATTCTTTAACATATGAACTAAATATTACATATATGGCTAACATTAACTCCCTAATTAAGTTGTATATTAAAAATCAGAGGAGTAGTAAATAAGTAGTAAATGAAAAAGGAAATTCAGAAAAAAAAAAGTTTAAAATTACTGCATCTTAAATAAAGAATTCCTAAAAAAAATTATTGTTATTTATAAATTTAGTATTGTCAAAATATATTAAAATATTATTACCAAATATAATTTGGGATTTAGTAATTTCAAACTTCTTTATATGATATTCTCCCTAGAAGATTTAATTTAACCGAAAATTATATATTGAAACAATTTAGTCTTCTTAATATTAGAGCATACTTATGTGTTCATAATAGCAATTAGCAGCAGGCAAAAAAAATAGCAATTAGAAAATAATTTAGGTTAAGAAAATAGTAATTCAAATTAATGATATAACATGGATGTTTGCATCTGGAATTTTTTAATTTAAATTTTGTCATATATCTATTTCTGAATATTAATTCATATACCCAAAGAAATTCAAAAAAAATATTTAAAGTTTCAACGAAACAACTTAAATGAGATAAGAGCAAAGTTGTCAAAATAAAAATATTTTTTTCTTCCTGCCCCTCCTAAATTAAACAAGGTAACCTAAAAAATACATCTCCTTCCCGCCCCTTTCGTCAATCCAAACAACTAATGCTAAAATCCCTCCCATCCCTTCTTGTCTTTTATCTTCTATTAAAATTTCTCTCCTCCCTTCTCCTCCTTTGAGCCAAACATATCCTCAAGAGAATTTTAGAATGGGAAAAGTTCATCTTCAATTTTGTCATCATTTTTTTTATACTTTGATCCTAAATATAATATTTTAATTTGTTATCTTTCTTAAATTATAGTTTTTTGTTTGAATTCTCCTTATTAATTATATATACTAAAGGAGTTTGTTTTAATAACGAAGTACTTTTGAATGTAAATTGACGGGAAAAACGTTTTAACATAAATAATTAAAATGACTATTTTGAAAAAATCAACCCACATTTTTAATAAACAAGTAACTTGAATTTTTTCAAAAAAATTTCTATAAATTAATATATTTAAAACTACAAAACGTGTGTATGAAGGTGCTTTGGAAGACTATGTGTCTTTTTTTGACCTAAGAAGACTATGTGTCTTTTGCATGTTGTTTTGCAGCGACCAAAAAGCATTATATGGTCCTCAAATAAACAAAGCAGGCATGTGATTGTGTAAGAACACACAAAAGAAAGTTAGTGCGAAGCAAATAATCTTAGAAACATCTCATAGTTTTATATATAGAATATATGCCAAAGTTGATTACGATTCATAATAAAGTAAAGTATATGTGCTTTATTCAAACACAAGTCTTTCATTGAGGATCAACTTTTGACATAAAATCTAGTTTACAATATAAATTATACTATAAACTAAATATTATATTTAGTACTGGGAGTTAGATGTGATCTTAGAGCATATGATGTTGAATTAGTTGTTGAAATTTTTTTTAATAAATTTTATTATGAATTAGTATTTATTAGTTATTAATATTTTTTGCCAACAAAGTTAATTATTAATATATATACATATACGCTTCCGGTCTTTAATATAAGACTTAATTGCTGAATTGATTTTGAACATAAATACAAGACATCTTTCTCATGTTTATCAATATTTTCTAAATTATCGTTATGGATACTTACTTAACCATAATCAAACAGAAGAGAGGGGATATTAAGGAAGATGATTATGATGTTTTAGGAAAATTATATCTTATTTTTTATAGTTAATAACTTATCCTACC